TTTAGCCTTGCCTGAGGTTTAAGGAAAGTACCCTCTTGAATGTTTAGTTGGTTCAACCTGTCTTAGAAATAGTAATCGGGTTATAAGGAATCTCAATATCAATGATCTTTCTTTATCGATATTATTTCAGCTTAGCAATCTTTTCTTGCGGCCGAAACATCCTGAAAGTCAAATCTCAATGAGTGTAGCATCGAGTATAGACCGATTCCCAGCTTTAAACCGAGGGCAGCTATCTCACTATTTTCTAATGGCCAAGTTTGTTCAACTAAGGCTCTAAGGTTCGTTAGTGCTTCACGACATCATGCGGCGGCCCTGTATTCTCCTCGATTCAACACAAGGGATACCGGTACCAACCAAAGTGTCACACCAACACAGCCATTGCTTAAACCATATCGGTCTACGCCGTACAGTTTCCACGATCTATTGCTGTTTACCTAAAAAGTGTTCCCAAGATCCGGGTGTAGGATCTATAGTAAAAACCCAAACAACCCTCCAAGGATAAAGCAAACAAAGCATACAAAAGCATTTTAATAATGAACTAACTCTAAGGTAAACCCCACTTTTTATTTTCTCCCGAGCAAAGTCGCCAGTTCTGAGATACGGTGGCAGAACCGACTGTTTAATACTGGTTTTGCATTTTGTATTCACAAATGTCGCGGTAAGCAAGAGTCTCCACCGTCTTTTCTTTTATCCAACAAAGGAAAGGGTGAAAAGAGCAGAAAAAGACCTTTTCAAGAATTTTCTGAGTAAGGAGGGTAGATTACGGAAAGGGAAGGTGTTAGCACCCTTTCCATCCGTGGTTTTCCACGGGCTCTTAGAGGTTTGCTCATTTTTAAAAATACCTTTGTGCTTTGTGTTTGAAAATGTTTTGAAAATGCCTTAGTATGGCGAACTTTGTAATGTTTCTCGGGATAATGGAGAAAGTATACAAAGTGTTTTGAAATATCTGTTGAAAAGTAGTTTTTGTGTAAGGTCAAAATGTTTGAGCAAACTTCTAACAGCTTTCTACGTTTATACTCGAAAAGGGTCGTTCATTTCCTCTTTTCCTTTAGACAGTTCTATCCTAATATTAGTGAGTAGGTAACCCTATCATTAGATGTTTGAGGGAATATCGAAAGGGACGTTTTACAGTCATAAAGGAAACTTGTGGTGACGCTTTAGCAATTTTCTTTTAGGGACTAGATCATTTACCGAAAAGGCAATTGTAGGGTCATCGAGGGACTATGATCTTTTGATTTATGGGTCTTTGCTAAAGTGTTCCTGCCTCATGACTGTTTTATTTCTTAAAGGAAACCAAAGTGGGGTACCCTAGAGGTGCTTGTGTGCAATTGTGTTATGTTTCCGTTATTTTTTGTCTTTTTGTTAGGTTTACTAGCGTTTGATTTCAGTCTTTTCATACACACCTAGTTACTAGCAGTTAATATGTACAGAAATTTAAATGCGGAAAGTAAAAAACTAGATTATTACATGGCTTTGGGGAGGGGTATTTACACTGTACAAAATGGGGGAGAAAAAAATAAAGGAAACTGTAAAAAATTCCTATTTAATCTATTACATGCCAGTATATAGTTACATTATTATAAAAATGCGAGAGCAAAATAAAGCGCGCGAAAGGAATGTTACGTCTAGAAGAAACCTAAGAAATTGCTAAGTAAAGAAATCTTTCTGATTGTTTTTGTTTATTTAGGACTAAGAAAAACAAATAAACTAGCTCTAAATTTAATTAATAAAAATAAATATTAAATAGGAAAATACTCTAGGTTATAAAAGAAAACTAATCCTAATATATTTTTTTTGTATTTTTTGTTTAAGAAAATATTGAAACATAAGTTAAATCTAATTAATTAAAAGAAAGAGAAAATTATCAATTAAAAACTTATTCTAAACTATCCTAATATTTTTTGAAATTTTTATTATGAAAAGAAAATGATTAAATTAAATTCTAAGTTGTAGTTCATTTTAAATTAAGAAATAGTTAAAATTTAATTAATTAATTAATTAAAGAAATTAATTGTTTAATTAAAAAAATCTAAGCCTAATAGTTTTTGGTGATTTTGATTTTAATGTTAAAATAAAAAGAAGTCAATGAAAACAAAAAAACAAAAAAAACAAGGGGCATCCTTTGGTCCAGGGAGAAAAAGGACTTTTCGATCTAGAGGGAGTGTTATCTTTCGATTCTGTGAAGGGTGTTACCCTTCGATCCAGTGACATGTTATGGGTTTCGATCCAGGGGGTGGATGCTGTGAGGGTATTGAATCTTCAAAGGTAAGTTAGCAAAAACAAAGAAGCAGGACCTGGGTATCGAAACCCAGGTCCTTCGATCCTGTGCGCTGGGTCTATTCAGGCTATATCTGCAGCAAGTATTAGGAACAAAACAAAAGTAGGCCTGGGGTCGAACCTAAGACTTTAGTCTTGAATGACAAATTGAATGAAACTACCAATGGGTCATGCAAATGTAGAGTTTGATCTTTTTACCAATTCTTACAAACGATTGATGGGTAAATCTGTGGTGATGGGTGTGGGTATCCTTGTTTGAGGATTGCTTCGATTTTACTTCTAGAGGTGGGAACCTTTGTTTAAGGGTTTCTTTGACTTGGATTACTTATGAGACCTTTTAATAACTTTGGTGGGTTTATGGGAAGCGTATCTCCAATGTCTCCGTGTGTCCTTTTTGGCTTGCAAGCATGCTGCTTATATAGAGTAGGGGGAGGGGATAAGAAGAAAAACGTTTAACTTCCATAAATAAACGTTTTCAAGTCCATGAATTAAATTTTGTAACTGTGGCAAAAAATAAGGGATCTTTTTCTCTTTTGAAATTTGAATAAATGTGGACAATTTTGGCTTTCGAATATCCCCAGTCTCTATGCTTCTATTGGACCTCCCATGCACCCTTCGAATGGGCCTTTTTATGTAGCCTTCGCCTGGGCTCAAGTTGCCTCTTTCGACTGGGTCTTTAGATGTTCCTTCTGGTGTACCCTTCAAATGGGCCTTCAATCCTTTCCCTTTCGATTGGACCCCTTCGATGCTTCTTTGAATGGCTAGCAATATGCGTACTTCGAATGGACTTTTGGAATGCCATAGTGTAGAATTGGGCTGTCAAAACTTAGCATGAGGGAAGTTCCTGCCTTGTGCAGTCAGGCATTTACTAGGGGTTTGCCTTGTAGGTATGAAGAAAGTTTATGCCTTGTGCTAGCAGGCATGCAGGCCATTTTTCCAAATGGCCCTTGTGTGAAAGAAACCAAAGGCGTTTCAAATGAAGGATGCCCAGAGATGCTCCAAACGAAAGAATCCAGAGGTGCTTCAAACAAAGGAAGCCCAAAGGAACTCCTTTTCTTTCTGAATCGAAGAAGCCAATTCAAAGGAAGACAAAGCTCAATCGTAGACTTGCGGACCAAAGCTTGATCGAAGGGTGTTAAATTCCCAATCAAAGACTAGTGAGACAATCTTGTATCGAAGGATTTTAAAATATTAGTCGAAACTTGTTGTCGTGCTAGTCGAAGGGTACTGTTTAACTGCCAATCGAAGGACATTGTTGAACTGCCAATCGAAAGACACTTTGCTAAGATTAAAAAATTCCCTCTTTCTTTAAACAAGTGTTTGTAACCACCATGTAAGGGAAAAATCTTGGGAAAATATGAGAGGGAAAATTTTGGGGTACAACACCGCCCAAGTCAATCCTTCTAGGAAGGAAGAAGAGATGGAAAAATTCTCCACAGAAACTCTGAAATTATTTTGTAATACGGTGGGAGAACTGACTTGGGTATTTTTGCGTTTGACTGCAATGGTTGCGGATAGCAAGAGTCGCCACCGACTTTTCTTTTATCCAATAGGGAAAGGTTGAAAAGAACAGGAAAGACCTTTTGAGATTATTTCTTGAGTTCGGGGGGGGGGGGGGGGGTTAGGTTATGAAAAGGGAAGGTGTTAGCACCCTTTTCACCCGTAGTTATCTATGGGCTCTTAGTTTCTTTCTAGATCACTTGCTTTTGTTTGAAAATGTGTTTGTGGTGTGGGTTTTGAAAGTATTTTAAAAATGTCTTTGTAATGGTTCTCGTCTCTATAAGAACGTGTACAAAGTGTTATTTAGAAAATAGTTCAAAGAAGTGTTTGTGGAATTTGTTTTTGAAAGTGATTTTGAAAAGGTGTCTTTGTAATGGTTCTCGTCTCTATAAGAATGCATACAAAGTGTTTGTCTTTTGAAAATGTTTCAAAATGAAAGTGTTGGTGTATAAAATGTTTTTGTTGTAAGCAAGCGAGCAACTAGGAGCAACCTAACTACTCAAAAGGTCTTTAGTGTTATTTTCCTCCTCCTTTAGATATTTTTATCTTACCATTGATTGGTAAGAAGCCTTATCTTTGGATGTAAAGGCACTACAACATTTAGCCTCTCCAACAACAATTGAAAAGCGTTGCCATAACTCTGAAAATCGTTGCCTAAACAAATAGGGGACGTTTTCTAGGCGTCTCCTGTGCGAGCGTTGCCTATTGTTTGAGGCGACGTTTTTTTAATGTTTTTTGGGCACGCCTTTGAAAAACATCGCCTATAGAAAAGGAATAGGGGACAATTATTTGCGGCCTCTGAGACAACGTTTTTTAAGCGTTTCCAAATTCGGCTACAATTAAAAATCGTTGCCTTAAACCTGAATCAGGAAGGTCGTTTTTGAAGTGTAGCCATAGCTTATAGGTTGTTGTTTTATAGTGTCCACATAAAATATACAATTTTGCAATTATTATCAAAATAATATAGTCAATAATAATTGGCTTCAAAAATAATATTGATTATATAACTTAAACCATACATCCATAAAAGTTGAAATATAATAAAATCAAGTTCAAACTTTAATTCAAGATATAATATATAGAGTACACAAAATGCCTAACGTAACATTACTTTTAATACTTTGAAGTATGACCATAGTAAAATAACTAAAAACATAGTTCAACAAAAGAACAAAAATCATATAATGCTTTCAACTACAAGCCAAAAAAGGACATCATCCAACTCACTCAAGTTTGTCTTCTAAGAGTAAATCATCCAGATCATCCTCCTGAAATTCGTTAGATATGTCATCCTCCATAAATTCTTCATCTACTTCATCCTCTTGAAATTCACCATCTATATCGTCCTCTTGAAATTCATCATCTAGATCTATGTCGTCCTCTTGAAATTCGTCATCTACGTCGTCCTCTTGAATTTTATCATTTAGGTCGTCCTCTTGAATTTTATCATTTATGTCGTCCTCTTGAATTTCATCATTTATATCGTCCTTTTCAACATCTTCATTGATACATTGCTGCATAAGAAAATAAAATAAAATACATCAACCATAAATATTTTTGGTCCAAAGGACTATTAAGACATCAACAAGAATTAAACCTCGCACAAATAAAAACTAAACCAATGAGCAAAACACATTGTTTATATTCTTCACATCTCATGTCATGGGTGGGCTTTATATTACTTTACTTATCTTCTCATACCAGGAATATTCATAAAAAATACTCAATGTTTTACTTTAAGTCTATATGTCTAAATTTGAAATTTTAGATTTTTCTCTTTTGCATATAACAAATCTTAAACAGTTTCAGCCACTTCTAGGTGTTGTCACTACTTAAACAATTTCAACCACTTACTTTATTCTAGGTGTTGTCATTGCAAATTTTTGCATACATTAACAACCATTTTGATACTATAACATAATTAGAAAAATATAAATCAATAATATTGGTATATATGGTTACCTTTCCATGACATGGAGCATGAGTTGATGTAGATGAATGCATTTGCGGTCTTATATCCTTTGGGGAACTATTAGCATCTCCATGAGATAATCCTAACAAATCTTCAATTGACTCTATATTAATTTGAGGATTGCATTGTTGTATTACGATCTTAAAAGCATTTTGCAATCTATCAATCTTATCTTGAAACTCGTCCCTTAATGTAGAGACCTCTTCACTGTGGGCTTGTTTCAAAGCATTAATCTCTGCCTTTCTCTTTAAGGAAGTTTTAGTTATGTTTCTCCCATAACAGCGTACCCTGCCTGGACACTCCTTTCCAAAAACAACTTTAAAAGCTTCTGTATCACTTTCCTCCTTTTCAACCATTTCTTGAAGTTGGGACTAGCATAAATTACAAAAAAATATATATTAACTACTATTATAGACAATGTTGGCCGATTATATTAAGCAAACGTATTATATAAACAATGTTACATACAATTACTTTTCCAGTTTCTACATCCAGTTCCTTTCCTTTTTTTCCTTTTCGAGTTTCAACAAACATTTCTAATTGAGTGGGCTCTCTTTTTTCCTTTTCACGCTGCACAAATCAAAATAATTCCATAACAAATCATGTGAATTAAAATTCCTATTCACGAGTCAAAGAAAAGTTTTTCACGAATACTTTAATTGAACAAAGAAACATTCATACAAGGAATACTTTATTGAAAACAAAAGAAAGTTACCACTTTTTCACGAGTCAAAGTAAAGTTTTTGGGACCCATTCGATGCATCCACTCTAGTTGAGCTCTATTTCTAGTGTTATTTTCACTGATTGCCTACATTTAAATTTGACGGAATTATTATAATAAATATTACTTAATTATGGCATACATAGAAAGGTGTAAATTCACACACATACATAAAAAAAATTATTAATCTTACTTGTATAGTTTCCTTACTCCAATATAAGCACAAAGACTCTTAAACTGGGCTATTGGCACGTTTGGCGGACGATTTTTGAGTCTCTCGGTCATGTTGGAATACTTCAAAAAATGATTCTTCTTAATTTTGTGCTTATATCTTCTCCATGCTTCTCTAACAGTGGTCTCAATCCAATCTCGTGCTTCAACCGGCAAGATAAACTTCCGCTACATCAATTATAAGATAAGACAAGATCAAGAAATAAAATAATTTTTTGAAATAATTATACTTTCAAATTCATCGATAGAAACATACATTAGTATATCTCCAGACACGGTTTTTATTATCATCTGGCATTCCTGACCAATTGGTGTAACGTAGAGGACAAAATGTTGAGTTCCTAGCCAATGTTCCCAAGAAGAGGCTCAAGTCAGACACTACTTTTTCACTAGGACCAATTGGCTGAAAATCCTCATTAAAGGTCACTTCTACTCGCTCTTCCAAAGTTCTTGCATGAATCTTTTTGCACAAAGTTTTCCCACGAGTTTTTCTTTGGGATGTTTCTATAAAGTAATCAACACAACAACATGATATCACATGTTTTCTACCAATATGTAAATAATACATGAAATCATTATTATGAAATATGAAACTAATTACCTTTTTCTTCTTCTCTATTTGTGATTGCATCTTCTTCGTTGACTTTTTCCCGATTTTGAACACTTTCTTGTCGAGTTCCTTTTTTTTGGATGATTTTGATTAGAGCTACGGTTAACGCTGCTGCCCGGTTTTTCTCCATTGTTTGACTTGGTTGCATCCATTTCCTTTGACTTGTGAAGATCTACATAATCATCAATCAACATTGATGGGCATTTTGGCACCCTGTTTAGCTTTTTAGAGCATTCAACTTTTGACATCATTGTGTCCAAAGATAGAGTAGATTTCTCTGGTTTCTTATTTTTGGAAGAAATAAGTATTCTCCTTGCAACTGGTTTTTCCACCTTTTGAATTTTATCTCTATTGTTCTCTAGTAGATTCTCATGAATTCTTTTTTTCAGCATTCCTGGTTTCAATGTAATTTTCTCGTCATAATAATGTCATGAAAAGAAATATATAAATTTAAAGTATATGCAGGGATATTAACTACGTTGTGAAACTTCTTTGTTTCCATGTGCAAAAACTTCCTTAGCTTGTGGTTACAAAAGCTTAGGTCTCTCTGCTTTCTTCATAGCAATGTGGTTGTCCAATTTTCCATCAACCTTTTGAATTCTTTCTCTATTCACTGTAGCTTTCACTTGAGTTCTTTTCTTTGGTGTTTCTAATTTTAGTAAAAATTCACCAAAAGATATTAGGAATAATTTCATGTAATATATGCATAATAGAAAAATTTAAAAATCACTTACCTTGTACAACTTCTTTGTCACCATGTGCATGATCTTTCATTACTTTTGGTTGCGAGAGTTTGTCTATCTCCATTTTCTTTGCAATAGTCTCTTTGTCCAAATTGTGATAAACCTTTTGAACTCTTTCTTGTTGATTTCCTTTTTTTGGTGTTTCTAATTTTTGTAAAAATTCATTAAAAAACAGTAGGAATAATATATCTAAAGGAATTCCAAAACATAACTTTAACATACATCATTTTATATAAAATCAAATGAAACAAGAAAATGATTTACCGTCCACAACTTCTATAATTTCCTGAACCCTTTCTCTATTGTTTCCTTGTAGCATCTCATGTAACTTGTCAATTTTTTCTTTCTTAACATGTTGTAGCACTTTATTTCTCAATTCTGCACTTGATCTTACTTGAAAAGGAAAATCAAATCTTTTAGTAGGACTTCGACCACTCTTCCTATGTGATCCACCATCTTTTACACTTCTTACATTGTCCATTATGGCCAACAACTATGATCTACAAAGGGGGAAAATTACATAATTATATAATGAAAAATTGAGTATAAAGTGACATTATTCATAACCATAAATTAATAGTATATTTGAATTTAGTTTGTTATGGTTTAAGTAAAAAAATGACAGCATGCTTAACCATAAATTAAACTTTGAACAAATCTATTTTCTACTCAAAATCTATTAAAAAAATTGGTAAAACACATTGTCAATGCTACCTAATCAGTACTAGAATCATAATCGGTTTCATCATCACTTCCATAACTCGTGTCACTGTGATCACTCTCTATTGCTTTTTGGTTGTGAAGTTCTGACAAAGGAATTTCAAAGATATCATCCGGCAAATCTTTCCTAACCAAATCCACTTCACAATCATCCCTTAACGTATTAAGATTTATTGAAATATCATATTCTTGGGCATCTGTACTTAAAGATTCTCCCATGTCAAATGATTCCCTTGGAAGTGCATTTAGAACATAGTGTTTGTTTTTGTTTAAAGGATCTTTAATAAAGAAGCATTGTTGAACTTGAGATGCCAACACAAATGGATCATTTTTGTAGCATTTTTTGTTAAAGTAAACCAACGGCGATCCATATTTATCCTTTTCATCCACAAACCAATCACATTTGAACAATACATGTTTTTCATGACCATAATAATCTAACTCTATAATATCTTTTATTGCCCCATAGTAAGTCACACAAATCTTTTTTGGATTTTCATCCTTCGCATTTCTAAGAACTTGAGTCACCGCTTCTAATGTCACACCACTATTTTGTGTTTTAAGCCTTGCTTCACGATTTTTTGTATGAAACCTGTATCCATTAATAACATAACCAGAATACCTTCTAACAACATCATTTGGTCCCCTAGACAACACCTTCAACCATTCAGTAACTTTCTCATCCATGAGACGTGTTTCAAACCATTGAATAAAATCTTCTCTTTGATTGTTAGCTTTTCTGGACTTCCTTTTTTTTAGAGGATTATGATCATTAACCTCATGCTCTCTACAAAATAAATAACTAATATTTTAATACAAAAGAAAAAGAAAACTTATAGTGAGAATGAAATTTTGTATCAAGTAGATGAGTGTGCCTAATATACTCTTGCACTTTATCGCAATTGAATAAAATGTAGCCGTGAGCTTGGTTTAGAGACTTATGATCAAGGTAAATTAGTTTCTTTCCCCCGATTGGATGACCTATGTTTGGAGTATCATCGCTATTTCGTGTCATTCTATTCATCCTTGTGTCTACAGCACTAGACAAATATCTTGAACAAAATGTTAGAGATTCTTTAACTAAGTATGCTTCAGCGATAGAACCCTCTGGACGACTCCTATTACGAACAAAAGATTTTAAATCACCCAAATATCTTTCCATATAATACATCCATCGAAATTGAACCGGTCCACTCAATCTGACTTCATTTTCCAGGTGAATTGGTAAGTGAACCATTATGTCAAAGAAACTCGGAGGGAAGATACATTTGAATTGGCAAAGTGTTTCAGCAATTTCTACTTCCAAGTAATCCAATGTTTTCACATCTATAACCTTCTGGCATAAACACCGAAAAAATGAACAAGTCGAAGTAAAGGGATAACAATTTGATTAGGGCCTATCCCTCTTATTGCTACTTGCAACAAGTAATGCAATATAATATGAGCATCATGACTCTTGTATCCAGAAACTTTTCCTTCATTAACTTGAACACATCGAGAAATATTGGATGCAAGGCCATCAGGAAGTTTTACTGTCTTTAAAACATTACAAAAAATAGTTTTCTCTTGCTTTGTTAGGGAGAAACATGCCTTAGGGATTTGAGTTTTCTTACCATCACTTGTTTCCTTCAAATGGAGTTTTTTTCTAATCCCCATGTGTTATAGGTCCAAACGATCTTTTGCATGATCCTTTTTCTTCCCTTCAATATCTAAGAGGGTCCCCATTATATTATCACAAATGTTCTTTTCTGTATGCATAACATCTACATTATGGCGCAAAGAATTATCCTTCCAATATGGTAATTGCCAAATGATAGACTTTTTCTTCCATGGACCAGGCCTTTTTTTATGATATTTTTGCCCCACTACATCAGGAATCTTTTCTAAGTCTTTTAAAATCATTGTTGAATCTAACAAGGAGGGTGCAGACCTATATTCTGGCTTTCCATCAAAAGAACTTGAATTTGATCTCCAACAATGATTTGAATCCAAAAAGACTCGATGACCCATATAACACATCTTTCGACTATGTTTTAAGTATCTTGAAGAAGTTTTATAATTACAAGCAGGACAAGCAAACTTCCCTTTAGTACTCCAACCGGATAACATAACATATGCAGGGAAGTCATTCACAGTCCACATAAGAGCTGCACGCATTTGAAATGATTGATTTTTTGAAATATCATATGTTTCCACATCAACTTCCCACAATATCTTAAGCTCCTCAATTAGTGGCTGCAAATACACATAAATTTCATTTTCGGGTGACTTTGGTCCAGGAATAAGTAACGACATCAAACAATTTTCAGCCTTCATGCACAAATTTGGCGGATAGTTATATATTGTTAATATAACAGGCCATGTGCTATGTGAAAGACTCATGGTCCTAAATTGATTAAACCCATCACTTGCCAACCCAAGTCTGATGTTACGAGTTTCACGAGCAAAATCTGAATGCTTGGCATCAAAGTCTTTCCATGCTTGAGCATCAGCTGGATGCCTTAACTTCCCATCCCTTGAACGATGGTTTGCGTGCCACCTCAATGTATCGGCTGTCTTTGAACACATAAAAAGTCTTTTCAATCTTGGAATTAATGGAAAATGTCTTAGAACTTTGGCGGGAACCTTATGAGCTTTTATAGATTCTTCAAGATCATTAGAAACTTCAGGATATTTAATCCACCTTGACGTGCCACAAATATGACATGAATCATCTTTCCCATGATCTTTCCAAAACAACATGCAGTTGTTCGGACATGCGTCAATCTTTTTATAGTCTAAGCCCAAATCTTTTATCATAGATTTTGTTTTATTGAAAGAGACAGGGATGTTCAAATCTGGCATAGCCTCTTTCAACAACTCTACGAGAGCAGTGAATGATGCATTACTCCATCCATGGATACATTTCAACAAATAAATTCGAATAGTGAATGATAACGAGGAAAACGTTTCACAACCAGGATACAACTCTTGATTTGCATCATCAACTAGTTTATAAAATTTCTTTGCATCTTCATTTATCCCTTCATGTACTCCACCTCCTTCAGCCACATCTTTAAATGTCTCAAATAGTAAGCCATCGATATCATCATGAGATGATGTTTCATCATCACTATCACCATCAAGATCTATAAGGCTCTCATCTTCACCATGATAAATCCATTCAGTGTATCCCTTTACAAATCCTTTACTACATAATTGGTCATACACTACATCTCTTGCTTCCCAACTATCATTGCAACATATAGAACAAGGACACAAAATCTCTTCTTCTTCAACCATTCCTTTGGTGAATGCAATATCCAAAAAGTAATTTACACCGTCCTTATAACTTTGACTGTGTGGAGGTAACTCCACCCAATCCTTCTTTATCATGTTTGGTTTTCTAAAATGAAATAAATTATACGTTAATCTTTATCATATAAAGGATGGAAAAACACCATGGTTCATATATCAACGTAGCTTTTACAAATGCATAGTTATTATAAAAATTCCATTTATAATCTAAATATACACTAAACATGCATTCCAATACCAAACATATAATAAATTGGTGAACTTTTAATCTAAACATGCATTACAAACATAAAATAAATGAGCTAAACTATTTTACATATGTTACTTCATGGAAGAGATAGTTTAAGGTTGTCTTTGTCTATATCCATTG